GACTGGGGGATGCCTCGGGTTCTTAAGTTGAATCTGTATGTAAGTCAGAACTGGCGTCCAGATTCAGCCGCTGTTGAAACTGATCAGCGGCTGAATCTGGACGCCAGTTCCGACTTACATACAGATTCAACTTAAGAACAAACCTACAGTCCCTATCTTGTATGTAACCCGGGGACTGCCTGTACATAATTGCCTGCATAAAAACACATATGTGAAGTTTTTGAACACCTCAATGACAGCCTGAGTATGCAAAACGTCCAGATTCAGCCGCTGTTGAAACTGATCAGCGGCTGAATCTGGACGCCAGTTCCGACTTACATACAGATTCAACTTAAGAACAAACCTACAGTCCCTATCTTGTATGTAACCCGGGGACTGCCTGTACATAATTGCCTGCATAAAAACACATATGTGAAGTTTTTGAACACCTCAATGACAGCCTGAGTATGCAAAACAGAGTTGTACAACATTGCATATATAAGTGAACAGAATTATTTTTAGCTGCACTTGACACTTCTAGAATTAGTGTTCTTCCTATTGCATACTGTGTTGCATTCTGTGTACACACATTATTAAACAGAAAAGCATGAAGTAAAAAGTAACAAAAACAAGTAGGGTGGTGAAAGGACTGACTTATGAAAAAAATAACAAAGATTTTCAGGTGATAATTAAGGGAAGGATATAGATCAGCATACAAACATGTGAAGGGTGTAAACACCAAGACAAGAGAGGAACTTCTTAGGCTAGTACAAGAGGCTGAACTATGAGAAAGGCACCAACATTAAGAAAAAGAAAAATTAGGCAGATTATCAGGAAAAACTTTTTAATATTGCAATGTACCGACAGTGGAACAGTCTCCAAAGAGAAGTAGTGGAAGCTTCTTTGTTTAGACTGTTTAAAATACCCTGAATAAAGCACTGATAGATGTGTTGTAGGCAACAATCCTGGAATGACCCTGTGAGAAGGGAAGAGTCATCTAATAGGTCTTTTACACCCCTGACTTTTATGAACAATTAACTCATGGAATTGCTATAGCAAATGAATGATTATGGCAGATCTTCCTGTGGTTCCAGGAACATTTCTTCTTGACCCAGCTAGGAGTTTGAGGAGTTACCCCCAATTACCTTCCAGACGTGCAGTCCCACTGCCTGGTAATTCTTCCCTTGAATGCCTTCAGTCAGAGATGGGCCTTCCTCTGCTAAGTGGGTCAGATTCTGAATTCTTCCAGCCCAATCAGCACTGTACTTCTGGGGTTTCTGCAGAAGAGCAATGTAAACCTCACTCTGCTCCCATATCCTCAGCCAGAACTTGGGGTTAATAGGGAAGCTGCTATTGTTACGGCAACCACCAGCAGACTGGCCTTTCACCCAGGATCCACACAGGTGCTGTGTATGACTCAGCACTTGCTCTAATAAAGAAAAAAGGTACCACGCATTAGCCATTGAAAACAATTCATTTTTGTGGCTTGAGTCCCCAGACTGAAAGCATTGCTGTGGCAATGCCACTTTCTGCGAGTGAATGTTCATGGCCATAGTATCTCAAGAGATCTGAAATCCAAGTCAGAGTGGAAAACTAAGGAACTTTATCCTTAAATTAAAGGTCATATACAGAACTATTTCTACAAGTCTGAAATCTCAAACTTGTCTCTCATTTGGATACAGGGCTCCCCAATACAATTTTCTTCAGGAAAGCACTACCCCCCCCGCACCAAAGGGCCAGACATAGCACACAATTCTTCAGCCTAAAATGAAAGGCTTAAAAACTTCTGTGCAATCTCCTTCTTTCCTCCTAGCAGTAAGGGACACAAGAAAGACTTACAGGCAGGGAGGGAAGAGAGTAAAATACTGGTACTTCTGCTTTTAAATACGTTATAAAAGTTACTGGAGGAAACAAGAACCATAAAATAACCTAGATACAGATCATCTAATCTGCAAACATAAGCTGATGCATATGTCAGAATTACAGTTTGCTATTCCATACATCATCTTGAGGTGGGAAGAATGTGTAAGTGAGACACCTACACCACTGGAAGTATGGAGGAGGGGGAGAACTAATATTTTAGTTAACATGACCTTAATTCAGCAAACAATCTACATTCTTCAAAGCACCTAAGTGCCTATTTTAGATATTAGCACATAATGTAATACTTTGGTGAACTGGAACTGACTTACAAACGTGTTTACATGTTCTGCCAAATCAGATCAAAATGCTAATTACTAGTCTTTCCTTGGAGAAAGCACAGAACCATAGAAATGAAGGGCAGAAGAGACCTTGAGGAGTCATCAAGTCCAGTCTCCTACACAGAGGCAGCATTAAGTAAACCCGGCTCCATTCCCCAAGCTTCTGTTCCTCTAGTGCTGCTCAGACAACCCAATTCAGAACCAGACTCTCCCCTCATGTGGCATCAGCAACTTAACTCCCCAGGCCTCAGCTACTGCACTGCTCTCCAGACAACTAGCTTGACAGCTTACACTTCCGTTTTGCCCCCTCCCGCCTGTGAGCTGAGCTCCAGCTACCACTTGTAAACCTCCTGATGCCTGGGCTGCACTGAATGGTGCATGGAGCATGCACTGTAACTGTAAGAGTTAGAAACGTTTTGTTAAATGGATGAGATTTCAGAGCACAGTTCTGCATCAGAGAGATCAGCAGAGCCTCAAAGTACATGAGTTCCTGAGGCTGGCATAACCACATTCACTTACAACCGAAGTTTCCTCTAAGCTGTGCAGCCATGCAGGTGCTGATTAAGCCTCATGTAGGGGCTCAAGGCTTTGGCAGAGGAAAGGCCCCTCTCTCCCTGACAATCCCAGCATAGACCTGTCCATAGACTTGCAGCTGAGGGAGAGGTATCCCAGTCCCAACCCAGGAATGGACCTGTTGTGACCGTGGAGGTCTCACCCGGCCCCAAGCTGTTGCAGTGAGAGAGGGCCAAGAGTAGTCCTCTCTCAACAGGATAACTTGCATACTGAACCCCTCATCCCCAACTCCAACCCAGTGCCTGCACCCCCACCCAGAGCCCTCACTTCCCTCCACTCCAACCCTGAGCCCCCTTCCACACTCCAAACTCCTTGTCTCCACCCTGTCACACACCCTGCATATGCAGAATGAATTCTGATATGTGCACCAATATGGAGGTGATGTGTTACGCATCATCTCCATAATGGTGCATAAGAAAATTCATTCTGCACATGCACATAAATTGGAAGGAACACAGCTTTGCAACTCTTAAAATCATTGGAAAATAAGGAAGCAGATTTTTCCTGTCAATCAGAGAAACATAGAGAAAGCAGAAAGTTAGTAAGTTTAGTTTAACAAACAAGAAGGGGCCAGTCCCAGCGTACACGTATACTCACTAAAAAAAAAAAAAAAAATTAAAAATTGGAAACCCCAAAGGCCTAATGCTAAACAAATCTACTGTTGGCCCTTTTTAATTCAAATCAGACTTTCCTATTAAACCAATCTGATTTGTTAAGAATAGTTCCTTTGTCCACAAGTAGGTGTTCCCTGTACACTAAGCACTTGGGCAGCCACCCAGGAGAGATTCAAATGCCACCCAGATAATTAGCAGTGCCCATGGCCAGCTACATGAGTTTCTACTGGAGGTGCACATTCACACATGCCACAGTGCCCATAAAATTTATTCTGCACATAGACAGAAAAAATTAGAGGGAACATTAGTCCGCATAATACCTGTATAGAGGCTCTGAAATTGTCCCTCTTCAGTGACTGGAAACCCAATGGTAATCTCATCAAATTCCTTGAAAAACTCTTCCTCCTCAACCCAGAATTCTCCTTCCTGGATCTGGGAAAGCAATTCTGAAGCAACTACTGGATCCAATTGGCTCCACCCTTGACCACTGCAAAAAAATGCACAAAAGTCTATATCTAGGCTTTTTGCTCAGACTCCCAATAGAGTCCAACAAAAATCTTCAATGAAAAAGAGGTGTTTAATGAGAAAAAACATGGCATTTTTTCATTTTCATTTTACTGTTGTGTTCATCCATACAACACTTCCTCTAGTTATTCATCAATTGGGACTGGAAACAGATATTACAGAAAGGCAATCTCCGCAAAGGAAGACCAGAAACTAGCCAAATCAGAGAGTAAGGGATTATGGAACATGCCTCCAGGTAAAATAGCTAATTTACTTACAATGAAGAACATTGAACAATGTGCAAAGTACCTCTATGTTTGTTTATTGTTTAAAAAAAAAACCCACAGGTTTTAGAAGTTTTGCATGATGGAAAAAGGAAGTGGAAAACAGAACTCCAAACACAAACAAGTGATTCAACAAATAACATCAAATATGACTGTTTTAGAAGGGTTTTTTGGTGCCACTTATGTAGCCCCTTATATCACCAACATACTATTTCCATAGAGCAGTTGGGTGAGATATTTTTAGCACGTTGGCTACCAAGTTACTACAATGTTGAAGATCTGCCTCACCAACTAATAGTCCTTCTAATTGCTGGGCACCTTCAACTCCCATTAACTTCACTGACACTGAAAAACACTCTGCACTTCATAGAACAGGGCACTACTTTAAGTCCTTGGAGGCAAGACATGTGTCTTCCTTTATATTTTATGCATCCAAGATTTCCTCGTTTTTGTTAAATACAGGGTGGAACAGATTGTTTAGCATAACCAATGAATACATAATTCAAGGAGAAGTGACTCATTTAACACACCTTTCCAGTCACAAAATATATATTAGGTTAGTGGTCTTCAACCTGTGATCTGTGGACTATGTCTAAGAGGTCCAGAAAAAGTGACTATGAAAATAAAATTTCAGATCCCAGAAAAGGCATTTTGTTTTTCTGATCAAAGGTACATGAATACCCCCACCTAGTGATCAAAACCTGAAAATGTTGTCATCATCATAAAAGTCCACCGTTAGCACCCTGCTATATCAAATGCCACGTTGAGCATGTGCAACATCTATAATTTACTTCCATTCAGTCAATCTAAGACTTCTATGGGAGGGGCCCGCAGACCACAGGCTGAATTTCCAAAGAAAGTCCACAATGCCACTCAAAATTTTTTTAGGGGTCTGCAAATGAAAAAGAGGTTGAAAACCACTGATGTAGGAGAAATGAGACAGCCATTATGCTCTCAGAACCCATACAGAAATATGATAAAAAGACAAGCACAATATCACCTGTGGGTGAACACTTTTCAGTCATCAGCCTCAAAAGCAAACTTGCACAATCCCTTCATATCATGAGCCTAAGAGCACAAATTCATACATTTTCTATATACCAAAAATCATAGACTGACTAGACATTGGATTTATGGCTTATTTCAATACTCTATAACCCATGTATCCCTCCTCCCCAGCACCAAAAACCACATTTCCTATCAACATAGCATGTATTTGGAAATCTAGATTCCCAGACCCAAAGGCTCAAAAAATTAAGACAACAAGAACCATGATGTTGTATAATAAGGACATTAAAAAGCGGGTACAGGAAAACTCCAATTGACCGGCATCCAGTGGTCTGGCACTCCTGATAGTCTGGAACCCGGAAGTGTTCCAGCCAGCCAGACAATTGGAGCTGCTCTGCCCCCGGCTTTCCCACATCTGCCGCTGGTCAGTTTCAGCAGTGGTGGACCTGGGAAGCCCTGGGGCAGAGCACCCCAGCTGCTCTGCCCCCAGCTTCCCCAAGTCCGCTGCTGCTGAAACTTACCAACAGCTGACTTGGGGAAGCTTGGGGCAGAGCAGCTGGGGTGCTGCCAGGTTGGTCCCAACCACCCCGGCACCCCCCCGGCTGCTCTCCCCCAGACTTCCCCAAGCCAGCCGCTGCTGAAACTGACCGGCGGCGGACTTGGGGAAGCCGGGGACAGAGCAGCTGGAGTGCTGCCGGGTTGGTCCCCTAGTGCCGCCCCTCACCTGAACGGCGCTGCTGAAACTGACCAGCGGCTGACTTGGGGGAAGCCGGGGGCAGAGCAGCTGGGATGCTGCAGGGTTGGTCCTGCAGCACCGCCCTCTCTCATGCTGCACAGTTCCCCGCCGACCCCCCCTTCCGGTACTCTGGCATATCTGATACTCTGGCACCGGAAGTTTACTGTAATTGGGTAACTGTGTAACTGCTAAAAATTTCAGCCATTACATGCACCTGTAGCGCATAGCAGCAGCCAGCTCCCCGGGAAGCAGCGCATACCAGCTCCCGGCTCCTGCTCCTAGACACAGAGCCAGCAATGTGGGGCAGCAGCTGGCTTCCTGGGACCAGGGCAGAAGCCTGCATGTAACCATTAATGGTAATTGATAAGCCCAGGCTTATCAATTAACCATGTAAACAGTTATCCTATAACATTCCTATTGTATACTGAACTCAGAAAAAGGTTTTACAACACAAGACTATCATAAACTCTCCTCTGTGGTTGCCTATTAGGAATGTTACTTTTAGTGTTACATTGTGTGCTCAGAAACAGTAAATACATTTTCATGGAAGTACCTTAAAAGAATATTCTAAATGAAAACAAGCCCTTTACCCTTCTCTCCAGTGTCCTTTCCAACACCGCCTCCCCCAAGGGTTTCGTATCCGTAGCAAGATGATTTCCTTGCCCGAGACTCTGGAGAGATGAAGCATATCTATGACAATAAAGGCATGAAATTCTCCCAGTTCACTGGCACCTGTGCAGGAAAGATAGCCATCATTAGTAGGCAGAAAACTAGCTAGCATTCCTTTTCAAGACAAGAGGAAGTAAATGCTCCACCCGTTGTGAAAGAGATTCATTTTCTACTCAAGAAAGCTGCTACAAATCCACTGCTCTGTCTGTAAACACAATGGATGAACATGCAGCCCACACTGCACGCAAGCAGTTATTTGTCTCTGATTCATGTATCTATGAAGAGAAGATTGAAGAAAAAAAATCTGGACCATCAAAATACCTAAAAACATACAAACGAGCTGGTTTTGAGGATCCACAGAGCAGCGGTGCTGAAGCACTGCTTTCCCTCATGGATTTGCCAGTCATGATAAATTAGCTTCCCTACCCTAAGCCTGAATAGCATTCTTACGTCTTCATTTCTCCAATCTTCAAAACAATTAAATCAAGAAGCACCAGTGGCAGAATTTAAAGTCACAAAATATTAGTGCAGCTGAATTATTATAGGACAAAATTGCTGGTTACCTTGTTTTCTGAAGCATATGGTTTACTTGGCTTTGCTGTGTTTAAGAATCTCTAGAACGTCCATATTACCTTGCCTGGAGCTGAGGACTGAGCAACTTATCATGCACCGTTCCTTCAGGTTCATCAGTCTCCTAAATACCATCTTCTCCAGAACTCTACCAGTCCTCTCTCTTTCCATGCTTCTTCCAGGGTCTGTTAATGTCCATCTCTCAGCTAGACCTCCAGTCAAGTCAACTAAAGCATCTGCCACCTGCCCTGCCCACAACTGCTCATAAGACCCATGCACCCTATAAAAACAAAAAAGAAACAGTGGCACATACTTCAAACTTTACTCCTAAAATGAATATTGTTCTGTCTTTATTTTAATGACACATGTCCCCATTGAGAGCCTAATGTTAATATGAAATAAAAGGTGCCACTGTGGCTATAGAAGATGTAGGGCAGGGATCTCAAACGCATAGATTAAAGGCCAGAGCATATTTGTAATCCAGCCTGGGAAACCCTGTGGCCCAGGGGGCATGTCCAAACCCATCCCCAAAGCCCTGCCCCTTCCACCCCACGCCCTTGGCACCCCATCTTGAGGGATGCGGACCCAAGGATTACCAGAGGGCCAGGCAGGGGGTGATAGCAGTGGTCATGCCCCTCGGCACTCCCCGCAGTTGCAGGAGCGCAAGGGGCCCAACTGCTACTGCTGCCCCACGCCAGACCTCCCTGGTAATCCCCATGACCACATCCCTCTGGGGACGGAGTGCCATGGAACGGAGTGGGGGTGATGGCACTCCATCTCCAGGGCCGGATTGTGAACATGCTCTGGCCCCTGATGTAGTGCCATCAGACACGTCACATATTCAACAAAGTGTCTAGGTGACTGCTGGTGCCCCGGGCTGTGATTCTATGAGGTACCAGATGGCCCTGTCCAGATGGTGATGGTTTTGTATGATAGTTTCATGACACAAGGAAAAAAAATCGCTCCCCCCCATTACTTCAGTGTAACAGATCATTCTGAGGTGACGGTTGGGCTCCACCATGGACCAGTGTTTAGTATATTACTTTTCAAACAGAGGCACTTGAAATGACCTGAAGCCATTGAAATGAGATGTTTGAGGGAGTGAGAGAGAAGACACTGCTGGAACATGTGTGGAAGGATGACATCAGGAGTCAGACCAAGATCTAAAGCTGCAAGAGAGGAAGTTGTGACGGTGTGGGCATGTCTGAAAGATGAATAAGGAAATATTTTAAAGGGGGCATTTGGGACTATAATACACTGGCTGAGAACAAGAAGATAGCCAAGGAAATGGTTGATAGACTGTGTATGAGAGGATAGAGTCGATATGGAGTGAGTGTTGGCCCAGCCAACCTGGAAAGACTGACAGGCTAGCCAATCCCGATTAGATAGGAGAAGAGGAAGAAAAAGATGACATCCCACTGCATTATGGAAAGCTTGGTACAATCCTTTTCTGTACAGAAACTGCTCACGGCTTGTTACTCGCATCTCATCATCTTAGGATTTTAATCGCCCTTCACAATGCACAACATAGCTGATAATGTTTTGAAAATAACGTTTCTAACATACTTCCCCTCAATATATTCGTTGTTTGCTAAGCATGCTCAAACTAGCTTTTTTCTCCCAGCTGTTTTATTTTGTGGGGTCAGGGAGGATGCGTTATTATTTGCAGTAACTATAAAGAAGAGTACATGAACACACAGAAAAAGTATTAAGCCAGATTCATACGATTTCTGTATGAAATGGTCAAAAAATATTGACCTGGCAAATCCACGGTAAAAAGAAAAGTTAATGTGCCAAAGGTGCCTTTGCAGAAACACGTACCTTAACTTCTGCGTATCTATAGCTAGATGAGAGTAACTTCACCTAAAAAGGTGTTTGTCCTTTGCTGGGGGCTAAACAAACCCTTCTCTAAGATGTTCTAACAGTCTGGTGTCCATCTTATCCTAAGCAATTAGTCTCTAAACTGTTTGGTTGGTCTGCATCATAGACTGGGCTGAGATAGTATTTTTCTGCTTTGTTTTATAAAACAATGGCCCTACTGTCAAACATAAAATAACAAGAAGAAGAATATTTCGAGGTCCATAACTCCTGACAAAGCCAACAAACAAGTAAGTGGCCAGGTATGGTTAGGCAACAGTATGAGAGAAAGAAAAAAATATTCAGGGCCTGAGCATCAGTTAGCATAAAATGGCGTAGCTTCATGATTTCCCACGAGCAATACATATTTAAAATAGCTCATGATCTGACCCTTGATGTCTACCTTAATCTTTTCAAATAATGCAACAGGGAAAACGTTCTTTTGTCTGACTAAAGTAGGCAATCTGCAGCTAATAGCTAACTGAGCATCACTGCAGTCTATCAGTTGCAGGATCATTTAAACTAGGGCTGTAAAAGGTTAACCAATTAACCAGTTACTTGGTAAGCATTAGCCTTACTAGCAATGCTTACCCGGTAACCGGTTAATTGGAAGACCCGAGGGGGTGGGAGCTGAGGACCAGCCAGCAGAACCCTACGAGACCAGAACAGTTCTTCACCTGTAGTGCAGCAGGGCCCCAGTAAAAACAGCCCCCTCCCACCCACCGAAAGCTGGGCCAGAAGAGCCCCCTGCCCTCAAGGGGCTGTCCGGACCCTGGTTAACTGACTGAACGATTAAAATTATACTGTTTAACCAGTTAACTTTTTAAATGAATATTTACATCCCTAATTTAAAAACTCTTATTTTTTTATTATTTCACAATTCCTTTCAGTAAGAAAATCTCACCCTATGTGACAGCAGAACTGTATCTGAGTGATCCTGGAAAATACTGGACTTCTACAAAATCTAATATAGGAAAAAAGCCTAGCAATTATCAGTCTCTATTCAGTAAAACATAAACAGCTCAAGTCATAGAGAGGGATCTGGAAGCCTACGTGGCAGAAATCAAATCAAATCAAACAAAACACTATGTAGAAGACATGCTCCTCATTACTGCAATTTAAGTCACCTCCTCCAGAGAAGTTTACATACTTGGCATAGACCTTTTCCAGTAAGGGAAGCCAAAACACATCTTCTCTCTGACACTGGGAGAAGCAGAGTTTTCCCCCAAGGGAAGGCAGGCGATCATCAATGGTTACTTCCACCCAATGTCCAAACTGCCAGATTTGACAAGTGAAACAGCCTGTGTACGTCTCATCTGTCCAACTGGGCTGACCTGGAGGGATTACCTGGGAGAAGACAATATTAGCAAAATCAAGTAGGGATGTAAGCGATTAGTCCACTAGCCAATAAGCATAAGCTCATCATATAATCAAGTAGTAACTCAACTAGTCGCTTCCCCTCCCACCTCAGCAAGGTGCGGGAGGGGAGGAGCCGGAGCTGCGGGGAGCTGGCTTAAAAGGTCACACTCTGACTGCTGCCTTTGTAGGGCTCTTGCTACATTTCAAAGGCTGAAGCACTGCTATAGGGCAGCTATAGCAAGCACCCTACCTCCCCCTTATCGACCAATCGAGTAGTCGATGGAAACTCCATCGACTACTCGATTAGCTGATTATTCAAAATGTAACATTCCTAAAATCGAGACAAACAGACTTTCTTTTCAGGAAGCCACCACTTAAAACAAGGTCAATTCTAGCTATTCTACATCTTAGCATAGATACAAGTATGTCATAACACACCAAAAATTAAAGCCAGAGCATCAGAGTACCATCTTAGAAATCTCACTGCGTTGGAAGAGGATAGGGAAAAATAAAAATGTTAATGGAGCATACAGGAGACTCTGCTAGGACATAAAACATTACAAGAAACTTTTCTATACCTTAGTTAGCAAGTATTTGCTCTTCTGCAAAGCAACACAGGCACACAGGAACCAACAGTCTCCCAAAATCCCTTGCTTCACTTGCACCTCCTGTGGACTATCTGAAAACAATCGAGGAGTAGAACAAATTTCCTAAAATAAAGAAGCATTAAGATTTATTTTTTCAACTGTCATGCAGGAGAAGCCAAACAAGTCTGTACTGTGGGATTGAATGGCTCAGGAGATAGTTAACACAATAAAGGGCCTTACACCTTTCCTTCCTTTTTGAAACTAGCACAGATAAGCACTGACTGACAGTTGTTACAGTATGACTATTCAGTAGGTGACCTGTGTGAAATAAGTTTAGCAGGTCTCAGTCCAGATTTTTGTAGATAAGAGTCCATCGTCATTAACAGACATTACACTTTACAATCTCCGCAAAGGAGTGACTGAACAAAGAGAGAAATTAATCCACTCTATATTAGGGATGTTAAAAAGTGGTTACACAATTACATGCAGCAGCAGCCAACTCCTGGCGTGCACTGGTTCCTGCCTGCCTACTGCCTCTGTATCAGAGAAAGCCGCGTGGGGTGCCAGCCAGCTCCCTGAAAGACACCAGCTCCCGCCTGCAGCCCTGCACTTCTGCCTCTGATACAGAGACAGTAGTGCAGGGCAGCAGCCTCTCCCAGCATGCACCGGCTCCCGCCTGCAGCCCCACTCCTAGGGAGCCAGCTGCTGCCTCTGATACAGATGCATCAGCACAGGGTGGCAGCTGGCTCCTCAGGAGCAGAACGGGATCCTGTGTGTAACCATGAACATTACCCAATAAGCCCAGGCCTATCAGTTAACCGTTTACATGGTTATATGCTCACACCCCTACTCCCTAGTAGTTGTGCAGGTCACAATTCACAAGCAAGGTTGAGATAAATTAGTAGGAGTACAAGCTATGAAAGAATTCAGCATCCCAATACAAAAAACATTTTGTCTGGACAAGGAAAACTCATTTTGACATTGCTAAGCAAGCTACTGATCTAAACTGCAAAACAACCAGTTAGTCTGATATGCTGAAATTAAGAAATGGGTCTCCCTTCACGTTTCTTGTAAATGTTACAGAGGGCAGAAAAATGAATGCATTAGCTCTCCTAAGCTGCTGCTTTGCTTCTTTTCAACTTGGCTAGCTAAGCCCCACACTGCACTCTGGGAAATAAGCTTATTAGTTATTATTTATTTTACCATAAGATGTAGGAGCCCCAGTCATGGACCATGATGGTCCATGACTCCCCTGTCCTACATGCTGTATAAGCAAAGATCAAAGAGAGGGTTGCTGCCATAAAGAGCTTACAATCTAAATATAAAACAAGAAACAACAGATAGATATAGACAATAAGGGAGTACAAGGAAACAATGAGTCTCAGCAGACAGTGGTCTTGGCACACGAGCAGCTAGCTTGTCAGGTATTTGTCAGCAAAGGAAAGTAATTAGGTAGTTTTGCGGTGCTTATGGTGCACTCCTCCCAAGAATGAGGGGAAACACAGGAGAAAGCACAAAGGTGTTAGTTTGAAAATGTAACAAATGGGCTATGGAGATCGGCATCAACACCTCAGTACCAAATGAGAGATGATTGAGGGGAGATAGGTATGAAGGCCTTTGAAACTGAAAACAAGCAGCTTATGTTTGATGAGACAAGGAAGGGGGAGCTAGAGGAGGGATTCAAAGAGAGGGGTGACATCACTGAAGTGCCAAACTAGAAGAATAATCTTTGCAGCAGTGCTCTGAATGGATATGGGAGAGGCAAATAGCATTTATCAAGGCAAGGGTATTTCTGCAATCAATATCTAAGATGATGAGAATCTGCATGAGAATTCAGCTGATGTGCAGAAATACCGGGCATGATTTAGACATAGCCTCGATGTGCAAACCAAGAGAGCTGTCTGCCCCATCCCCACTGCCTCCCACAGAGGCAGTGGCAGAAGCAGGTGGGGCTGATGCTTATGGCTTTTTAAACTGGCTCCCCCTGAACACTAGCTACAGCTCGCCCTCGCTCCCTCCTCCCATCTCCCACCTCCCATGCTGCTGCCCCTATCAGAGGCAACATTGCAGGGAGGGTGGGCAGGAGAGGTGCCATGGAGCAACCTCTGTCCGTGGCAGGCCCAGGCTCTCCACAGACAGAGGTTGCTCTGTGGATGCCGGCGCAGCTCCTGTCTGTGGGAAGACTAGGCCCACCACAGAGAGGGGCTGCTGCCTCTGTATCAGAGACACAATGCAGGGTGGCAGGGGGCACGCCGGGAGTGGGACCAAGAGTACACTGGCTACCAGCCCCACCTGCAGGGACTATCAAATAGTCATGTAACCACTAAAATTTGATGTGGTTACACGACTATTCAGTTATGCACTAACATCCCAGAAGTGGACTGTACCCACAAAAGCTCATGATACCATCTACTTGTTTTGTTAATCTTTAAAGTGCTGCTAGACTATTCACTGTTTTTTAAGTTTTTTCAGTTACAGACTAAATCGGCTACCCCTCTGAAGCTACTAGAAACAATAACTGAACACTAGGCCATTCACTCATTAATGGAAAGTCAAATTTTGCTAAACCATTAAGCTATCACATCTCAAAAACTCACCTGAGGTCTCAGCCAGGAAATCTCCCCTCTGAATTGTGAGAGTGGGGTGGAATAGTTAAAAAAGACAGAGGTGTCACTTGCTGGAAACGTGGGGTCTTTGTAAAGATTTTCTTTTGTAGCTGATGGCACTCCATCTCCCAGCATTTTCAACACAACTGACGCTCTGTCGACACTTCCAAGACTTCAAGTTTCCAACTGAAATCTGCAATACAAATTAAAATGAACCAAGACTCATAATTTTGGAAGTGGGTGAATAAGGCTGGTAAACTCACAAGTAAAAAGTCACTAACCATTTCCACTTAGGGGTTTGAACCATGTTAGCTGAAATTGTACTTAAATTCAGTTGCAGGCCCTGTAGAATCCAATACTAAAAAAAACCAAACAAACACATCAGTCTGAGTAGTTGTCCCAGTGCAGCCTGACCCTTCCTCTCATTTAAGTAATCTCCTCACGAACTTACAGGCCAAGCTAGACAGAAGAATGAGAGAGAGATAAACCTTATTGGGAGTACAGACACCTGCTACTGCTCGGGCTACGGTCTCAAAAGGTATTTGTTAATGCCTTTCTCTGCACATCCCTGGCCAGATATCTCCCTAAAGTTCTTCTCCTAAAACTTCCAAGACCCTTCCCCAACTACATGCCAACCCAGACTCCACCTTCATAGATCTCTCTCAAACCAGTCTCCCCAGACACATTCTCCAGAGATCTGTCTAGATTTTTCTTACACAGAACTCCGTCCCCAGCTCCCCCCTTTCCCACACAGGCACAGCCATGCCAAACCCCTCCTCACACCCCTTACTCCTCCTCACCTGCCCTCCCAGAACCTTTCCCCACAGGACTCCCCTGACACCTGCCCTCTCAGACCCACCCCTTTCAATGTTCCCTAGACCCCTCCCAACGCACCTGCCTCCTCCCTCCATGGCCCCCTCCCCCACACAGCCCC